CGGAGGAGCGGGGTGACGGGAGAGAACTTGGGAAGGTTGAACACCAGACGGGCTGCGGCAATCTGGATGAGTTGTAGGGGTTTAATGGCACAGGCAGGGAGCCCAGCCAACAGCGAGTTGCAGTAATCCAGACGGGAGATGACAAGTGCCTGGATTAGGACCTGTGCCGCTTCCTGTGTAAGGCAGGGTCGTACTCTCCGAATGTTGTAGAGCATGAACCTACAGGATCGGGTCACCGCCTTGATGTTAGCGGAGAACGACAGGTTGTTGTCCAGGGTCACGCCAAGGCTCTTCGCACTCTGGGAGGAGGACACAACGGAGTTGTCAACCGTGATGGCGAGATCATGGAACGGGCAGTCCTTCCCAGGGAGGAAGAGCTGCTCCGTCTTGCCAAGGTTCAGCTTTAGGTGGTGATCCGTCATCCATACTGATATGTCTGCCAGACATGAAGAGATGCGATTCGCCACCTGGTTATCAGAAAGGGGAAAGGAGAAGATTAGTTGTGTGTCGTCTGCGTAGCATTGATAGGAGAGGCCATGTGAGGATATGACAGAGCCAAGTGACTTGGTGTATAGCGAGAATAGGAGAGGGCCTAGAACTGAGCCCTGGGGGACACCAGTGGTGAGAGCACGTGGTGCGGAGACAGCTTGTCGCCACGCCACTTGGTAGGAGCGACCGGTCAGGTAGGACGTAATCCAAGAGTGAGCCGCGCCGGAGATGCCCAGCTCGGAGAGGGTGGAGAGGAGGATCTGATGGTTCACAGTATCAAAGGCAGCAGACAGGTCTAGAAGGACAAGAGCAGAGGAGAGAGAGTTAGCTTTAGCAGTGCGGAGAGCCTCCGTGAAACAGAGAAGAGCAGTCTCAGTTGAATGACCAGTCTTGAAACCTGACTGGTTTGGATCAAGAAGGCCATTCTGAGAGAGAAAGCAAGAGAGTTGGCTAAAGACGGCACGCTCAATAGTTTTGGAGAGAAAAGAAAGAAGGGATACTGGTCTGTAGTTGTTGACATCAGAGGGATCGAGTGTTGGTTTTTTGAGAAGGGGTGCAACACTCGCTCTCTTGAAGACGGAAGGGACATAGCCAGCGGTCAAGGATGAGTTGATCAGCGAGGTGAGGTAAGGGAGAAGGTCACCGGAGATGGTCTGCAGAAGAGAGGAGGGGATAGGGTCAAGCGGGCAGGTTGTTGGTCATCAAGCCACGGAGCTGGAGGGGAGGACCGAGCCGGCCGGGAGGATAGGGGACATAGAGAGTCAAAGGATGCAGAAAGGGAGGAGAGGAGGGTTGAGGAGGCAGAATCAGGAGATTGGAGGGAGAAGGAATGAGCAGAGGGAAGAGATGATAGGATGGAAGAGGAGAGAGTAGCGGGAGAGAGAGAGCGAAGGTTGCGACGGCGCATTACCATCTGAGTAGGGGCAGAGTGAGTAGTGTTGGAATAGAGCGAGAGAGAAAAGGATACAAAGTAGTGGTCGGAGACATGGAGGGGAGTTGCAGTGAGATTAGTAGAAGAACAGCATCTAGTAAAGATGAGGTCAAGCGTATTGCCTGCCTTGTGAGTAGGGGGGGATGGTGAGAGGGTGAGGTCAAAAGAGGAGAGGAGTGGAAAGAAGGAGGCAGAGAGAAATGAGTCAAAGGTAGACGTTGATGAACTCTCCAAGGGAACCTGGAGGGCGATAGATGACAAGGATATTAAGCTTAAATGGGCTAGTGACTGTGACAGCATGGAATTCAAATGAGGAGATAGACAGATGGGTCAGGGGAAAAATAGAGAATGTCCATTTGGGAGAGATGAGGATTCCTGTGCCACCACCCCGCTGACCAGATGTTCTCGGTGTATGCGAGAACACATGGTCAGACGAGGAGAGAGCAGTAGGAGTAGCAGTGTTTTCAGTGGTAATCCATGTTTCCGTCAGCGCCAAGAAGTCGAGGGACTGGAGGGTAGCGTAGGCTGAGATGAACTCTGCCTTGTTGGCAGCAGAACGGCAGTTCCAGACGCTGCCTGAGACCTGGAACTACACGTGGGTGGTGCGTGCAGGGACCACCAGGTTAGAGAGGCAGCAGCCACGCGGTGTGAGGCGTTTGTATAGCCTGTGCGGAGAGGAGAGAACAGGGATAGACAGAGGCATAGTTGACAGGCTGCAGAAAATGGCTACAATAATGCAAAGGAGATCGGAATGAAATGAACTAAACATCTGGGAAAGCAGAGAGCGGGGCCTCCCTCACCACAACACCCAAATATAACTCTCCCAACTTCCACTTCAGAAACTATAATTTTTGTAAACTACAGCGGTTCAATGTTTTCTAGGAATAGACTAACTTAGTTTATTCAGCTAGCTAACTAGGTACAGTATTCTTCCGTGAAAATCGTCCAGGGCACCTAGTCATAAGACGCCACAGCCAGCTAGCATGCCGGACTCCAACAACACGGTTTAGCACCAATACTCGGCCACAACAAACCACCAGTGTGTCAACACGCCAAGCAGATCGTTCGTGTCCATGTCTAACGTTGTGGGTTAGTCCCGACAGCTTGAGCGAGTCCGTCGTCAACTTATTCAGCCAGTTAGTTAGCTAGAATAGTTAGCATACTAGCTAGCCATTGCTTTCAGACAAAGAAGAAACCCCTCCTTTCACGGCACGAACACACAGAGAGAGCAAAACTAACGTTAACTAGTCACCCATGTCCCGAATTCCTTGAACGACTCTAGCTACCAATATGTAAAAATTAAACACAAATGTAGGTTATGACTTACCCCTAGCAGCTACTGTTAGCTAGCCAAGTGCAAATCTAGCCACTGAATTGACTCAGCCAGTTCGCGTCTGTTCGCCAGGTCGTTCCAGCTATTGTTTACTAGTTGCTATCCAGGTAGCAACAAGCTAGCTAAATTTCAAGCACAGTAGCCACTTACTACCTAACGTTAACGGTTCAGACAATGAGGTTAGAAAACAGCTGAATGGTAGGCAAATATTGTATGTAATTATTGTAGGCAGCCAGCTGGCGTAATTACAGGCACTCTCAGGCGTGAAACAACTATACCGTTGCTAATAGTTGCCAGTAGCTACCCGCTAGGTAGTGGGTTAGCCAGCTAGCTTCGTGCTTCACCGGGCTCAGACGAATACAATACTAACCTACAATAATTACATACAACAACTCACGATAACTACCTACAATACCTAACTACAATCTAAATACATAGTTTAAGCCTTACTCGACAAAGCCCAAACTATGTATAAAGCCAAGCTTACCCGACAACCTCCTCCGGCTCCCGCTACCAGTTACCAGGAGTGATATATAGGTTATATACAGAGTTCAGCTATACCCACAGCTATACAACAAGCCCTCAATAAAGATATGTCTTAATATGTGTTTTAGAGTAAATATAAAGGAAGCCTGGTTGAAAAGGTTTCTCCTAAATTATTATTAGAGATCTGAGAAATGTACACTGTCTCCCTGTTCAATGGTGAAGAAACACCGATCCACCCAGACCCTTCAAGGACGTCTAGCATTTGTACTTTCCCCTCTAAGTGGTGAGACAGAGAGAAAGGGCCTGACAGATGAATAAAAAATGCAAGGTAAAATGCCATTTCCACTCATAATAAATGCTGACGCTTAATACAATATTATGGAAAAAGATTAGACATGACCTTAGAAGCTATAAATTACATGTGACAAGGCCCTAAGACACTGGGAGAAATAGAGGGGGCCCTTCACCGTCCCTCGTCCCTCAGTGAGGGTAATGAATGGCACAATTGGAAGGTCAGGCCAACAACAAAGAATAGAAGGGAGAAAAAAAAGGAGAGAAAAACTGGCACAGAATCCACAGTCTGTTTATTGGCTCTTAATGAAAAACAATTGATCTAAATCACCACCAGGGAGGATTCCTAGTTAAAGCTGGGGAAAGAGGGGTGGGGATGATTTCTAGTTAAAGCTGGGGAAAGAGGGTGGTATATTTGTCAGTGACAAATGCACTGCTGTTTTTTCCAATTCAAATCTGTTGCAGGGAAAGAAAACACAGCCGTTCTGGCTGTGGCACTATCCAAGTCACGCCTTTCCCTTCTCCTTTTTCTGAGAAAGCATATTTGAACTATGTATGTCTTATTAATCCAGATATCTATGGATTACTTTGAGAAAAAAGGCCCTGGTTCTATATAGTGGAAATGCTTTTTAGGGATATTTCTGTGTTTTGAGAGTAATGAACTGTAATGAAAATGTCTGCTTTACTTCCCCTCATATTATACCAAGATATAGATAGTACACCAATAAGGTCAGATTTTGTTACAATGTGGTGTTTGATATTATATATCATACAAGCTTCCAAACATAGGGCTTTTTCTTAATTAAGTTGTATTAACGTTGTGTACTTTCACAGTATCTTTGGTTTTATAGTATGAACATGTACTGTAATGTACATAATTGTACTTAATACGTACATTTGTGTTCCTATTATGATTTTAGTTTTACAGATCTTGCTCTGTTATTGCTTTCTCGATAGGCTCATTTCTAACAAATGTGCAGCAATACATTTACATTTTCATTGAATTCATAACAAAATGAAAGTAGAGACAGTATCATTCCTAGCATGGAATTAGGATTCCTCCCACTGTGGTAAAATAGAGCATTCCACAAAGACATGATTCTTAATTGCACAAATATTTCTTCTTTCTTATCACAGATTTACAGTAGATATCATTCAAAACAAATTGCATTGTCTACACATGTAGTCACGCGTGGTAAACGCAAAGTTATCGAGGTGTCCCTTGCTATGCAGCTGTGGTACAAAACACTATAGCACAAGTTTGGATTCTAGAAAACGTTTCCTATTCTTTAAAATGGCAACTTTTTGTTATAGTTCTGTTGTGGTCCCTCATTGTTGACTTATAGGTCCACGGGGGTATTCTGAACCACCTCTATCTCATTAAAGGGGATGTATTTGTAGAGGGGTGACTGGAAGCCAAAGTGCACCAAAGTGCAGACCTGTGAGTGCACTGGAAGAGGCCAAAAAACCATGGCAACAGAGGCGAGAGGCACATTTGTAAAATGAAGTCCAAAAAAAAGTGAAGGTGTAAGTGCTAGTAGCAGCTTGATGCATGCCAAAAACTAGACCTGGAGTGCTGACATGGCTAACCCCTTCTCTCTCTTTCTTTCTAACTCCTATTTATCTCCATCTCTCTCTCTCTCTCTCTCTCTCTCTCTCTCTCTCTCTCTCTCTCTCACTCTCTCTCTCTCTCTCTTTCTCTCTCTCTCTCTCTCTCTCTCGCTCTCCTCACGCTCTCTCATCACTCTCTACTCATAACTTCCCTCTCTTTCTTTCTTTCTCTATCCCTCTCCATCTCCTCACTCTCTCACCCCCACCTCCTTCTCTCTCTCTCTCCATCCCACCCCCTCTCCCTCTCTTACAGATAATGGTGCTGACAGACCCTGAGTTTGAGAGTAGTGTGCTCATCAGCTCGGATGAAGGAGCGAGCTATCAGAAATACCGCCTCAGCTTCTACATCCTAAGCCTTCTGTTCCACCCAACACAGGAGGATTGGGCCCTAGCCTACAGCCACGACCAGAAGGTGAGCTCCATGTCGTTTTTTCACCACAGTTGGTTGTTTGATACAGTATGTTTTGGATTTCAAACTGTGATACACAGTCGGATAAAGCTCCAAGCTGTTGATGTTTTATATTTTTTAAACATGGTCAATGAGTGATGGCTATCACAACAGGGGAGTCTGCTTAAGTTGGAGGAGGGAGAAGACTGACACCTTGGGTTGCTAACTAACCCCAATATCAGTCATTACAATGAAATTTGTGCCGATTCAGAGGTTGTCACTATAGAAGGTCCTAATGAAAAAAGAGTCTCCACACAGTCACTTTGATCCGATGCAATTTTACAGTTGTAATTCGCTAAGCTTTCGGTCTGTGATGGCCTTCGTTAGAGAATGCGGACTATATGAGTTTGTAACAGAAGCTTTTGGGCTGTTTAATGCACACTATAGATGATGGTGATATTTTGTTTGCATTAAAAGGATAGGCCTTTGTGGACATGGAACACTCTCAGACGACATACCTTTGTGGACATGGAACACTCTCAGAAGACATACCTTTGTAGACATTGAACACTCTCAGAATACATACCTTTGTAGACATGGGACACTCTCAGGAGACATACCTTTGTAGACATGGGACACTCTTAGAAGACATACCTTTGTAGACATGGAACACTCTCAGAAGACATACCTTTGTAGACATGGAACACTCTCAGAAGACATACCTTTGTAGACATGGAACACTCTCAGGAGCCATACCTTTGTACACATGGAACACTCTCAGAAGACATACCTTTGTAGACATGGGACACTCTCAGAAGACATACCTTTGTGGACATGGAACACTGCAAGAAGACATACCTTTGTGGACATGCAACACTCTCAGAAGACATACCTTTGTAGACATGGAACACTCTCAGGAGCCATACCTTTGTACACATGGAACACTCTCAGAAGACATACCTTTGTAGACATTGAACACTCTCAGACGACATACCTTTGTAGACATGGGACACTCTCAGAAGACATACCTTTGTGGACATGGAACACTGCAAGAAGACATACCTTTGTGGACATGCAACACTCTCAGAAGACATATGTACAGTTCTGATGAAACGATTCCTTAAGCATTGACGCAACGTGGAATCCGATGGTGATTAGTCAATTAGATAATGTAGTATTTTTCATTGGGAGTCCATACAAGTGCAACTTTAAAACAGTCTGTTCTGTACTGATCACATATTGAGTTTTTCTATATTCAAACAGCTGGGTCTCAAGCTTTGTCAGATCACTTTACTATTCTACTCAATGCAGGTCAATCTCTATCTCTTTACTCAATGTCTGGAGTAAACTGTTCTATTTCGAGTTCTAGAGCTCTGGGTGACCTCTCTTGACTATTATCTCAGAACGTGTAGGCAGTGTAAAGACATGATTACTGTTGATGTAGCTGTTCCTCTCTCTCTGACTAAGGGCGATGCAATTAGAGCGTCTGTGACACATCTCAAAAAAGTATGAGGGTGGAATGTATGGAAACAATGCAACATAATAGATACCTTTTTTTCTTCTTGTTCTTCTGTGTTCCTCTGGGACTTTTCAACTGTTCAAGTTTCCTAATTGACTTCAGTATTGGAGCTGCTTGTCTTATAAATCTTTTGACAAGAGCTGTTATGCTAGACAACGTCAGGCCCGAGTTGTTTTGTGCAGTTCAGTTATTCATGTAACACCCTCCCTGAAAGCAAAGATGATATTTTTCTGAATGCATTTATAGTCTGAGATATATTGTGTTCGGGGGGTTGGGAAGCTAGTGGTGGATGTCTCAAGGGAGAAGTGAAGACGAACCTTTTAAAAAGTCCCCTCGACTCGAGTTGTATTCCATTCTTAACATATTGCATCTCGGCTCACACACCTCGTCGGACCTGCGAGACAAGGCCTTGGGTCCCTAATGGATTGTGTAAAGGTTATGTTCATCAAAACGTTAACTTGGTGGGACTGTTGAGTTCAACTATTCAGTACACATTGCAGTTACTGTGGTCACTTGGGGATATGGGGTTTTGGTTTCATTACGTAGTTAGAAGTGTTTATGAGAGCAGACAATTCACCTCAGAAAAAGCTGATAGTGTAGATAAAATGACATTAGCACAGACAGACAATGAACATTGATTGTGAAAAAATATCCAGTTTATGTCCATGTATCTATTGCCAGTCTATCATGAAGCCTATCACTATCTAGCCTGGTTAAGTTCAACCTTCGCTCCCTTAGCACCAGTCTTTTAATAAAAGTGTTCTCTGTGTTTAATTATATCCTTATTCAGGTTTCTGGTGTTCAAATCAATTAATGTTGGCTATGTCAAGAGGAGAACCCCAGGTGGTTGACATAACTTTGTTTTTCCCAAATGTGTTCCTGTCAGTCTCCTGTACTTATCAATTTTTTACTTAACACTTATTTTTCTTAAAACGGAATTGTTGGTTACGGGCTTGTAAGTAAGTATTTCACTGTAAGGTTGTACACCTGTTGTATGCGGTGCAGGTGACAAATACAATTTGATTTGATTTGATTTGTGGTTATTTGCAATTCCTGCCACTGGGGGAAACAATCAGTATTGCCAGACAGCGCAGCGCCGCTAGAATAAAGTGTCAGTGTATCTCAGGTTTATTTGTGACTTCTCCAGTCTCTAACTCACTTGCCCTACAGTGCGTACGGGGATTTGATTGGCCCCTTGTCTGCATTAGGTTAGTTGCCTGTTACAGATGGCAGGATTAGTGTCATTAGTCAAGTGGAGGAAGGATGACTCAGAGCCCAATAGATTAGAATACAATAGACTATAACTAAATGGTGTTGTGGAGGGCGTATTCCTGGTGAGGATAAAGCTGGAGAAGGTGTTGTGGAGGGGGGCCTTCCTGGTGAGGATAAAGCTGTAGAAGGTGTTGTGGAGGGGGGTCTTCATGTTGAGGATAAAGCTGGAGAAGGTGTTGTGGAGGGTGGTCTTCATGTTGAGGATAAAACTGGAGAAGGTGTTGTGGAGGGGGTTCTTCATGTTGAGGATAAAGCTGGAGAAGGTGTTGTGGAGGGGGGTCTTCCTGGTGAGGATAAAGCTGGAGAAGGTGTTGTGGAGGGGGGTCTTCCTGGTGAGGATAATGCTGGAGAAGGTGTTGTGGAGGGGGGTCTTCCTGGTGAGGATAAAGCTGGAGAAGGTGTTGTGGAGGGGGTTCTTCATGTTGAGGATAAAGCTGGAGAAGGTGTTGTGGAGGGGAGTCTTCCTGGTGAGGATAAATCTGGAGAAGGTGTTGTGGAGGGGGGTCTTCATGTTGAGGATAAACCTGGAGAAGGTGTTGTGGAGGGGGGTCTTCATGTTGAGGATAAAGCTGGAGAAAGTGTTGTGGAGGGGGGTCTTCATGTTGAGGATAAAGCTGGAGAAGGTGTTGTGGAGGGTGGGTCTTCATGATGAGGATAAAGCCTCTTTATATTGAGTTTAAAGCCCCAGTTGATGGACTGCCTCTTCAATTAAAACCACAATGGGGTTCAAGTCTGGAGACTGAGATGGCTATTGCAAAATGTTGATTTTGTGGTCAATTAACCATTTCTTTATGGATTTTCATGTGTGCTTGGGGTTATTGTCTATCTGGGAGCCTCCAGGCCTATCAGCCTCCAGGCAGAGTCAACCATGTTTTTGGCTCAAATGTCCTGGTACTTGGTAAAGTTCATGATGTCATTGTCCTTAACAAGAGCCCCAGGACCAGTGGAAGCAAAATATCCCCAGAACATCAAAGATCCACCACCATATTTTTCAGTAGGTATGGGGTTCTTTTCTCCATATGCATCTTTCTTTCAACACCAAACCCACTACTGGCGTGGCCAAAGAGCTTTATTTTCATGTCATCCAACAAATGTAAATGCCTAGAGATTGCTAAATGGCATTGGCACCTGAATTGGAACCTGTGCTATGGTCAGATGACATGAAAATAGAGCTCTTTGGCCATGCACACCATATAATTTCCCTTTTCTTTTTTGCATACAATATAGCTCAGTAAAACAATTATTTTATACAGTCTTTTTTGCTCATATTTATCAAAGGTGCCAAAAGTTTTGTACCTGACTGTAAGTGAGTTTGACATCCTTTTGTGTTTTTAGGATGGGCAGCTTCTTTATTACATTCCAAGCCTCAGTTGCAAGGCTAAGGCAGGCTACCTTCACACAGGTACTGGGTTATTGGGTATTGGGTTATGTCTTATGAGTAGCCCTTCTTGCCCTTGGTGAATACCACACGTCCACAGGGTGTATTTAGAATTCCTATCAGCTCACCTGAAGGCTTTGATATTTCAGTGGCGTCATATCCTTTATGTGTGTGTGTGTGTGTGTGTGGGGGGGGGGGGGGGGGGGTACGGTGTGTGTGTAGGGGAGGTGTGTGTGTGTGTGGAAAGAAGGACTGTATGTGTGTATGTGTATGTGTGTGTGTGTGTGTGTGTGTGTGTGTGTGTGTGTGTGTGTGTGTGTGTGTGTGTGTGTGTTTGTTTGTGTTTGTGTGTGTGTGTGTGTGTGTGACAGGGAGTGAAGGTGAATTGATGAATTAAAGACTGGGGAAAAAGGAAGATTGACGTTGATTCAAGGATGATTGAATTCGTATTAAACAAACCATTTCTTTCAGTTAGAGGTGTTCTTTATTTTACTTCTGCTGTTATTTGTTGCTTGCAGTGGATGAGCTGATATCAGTTGATCAGTTTTGTCAGTTTATCTGTTCTGAAACAGGGCCTCCAGAACATTCTCACTTCGTTCTCTCAGTTTACACTCCAAACCCCCAATTATCTGAGATCTCTTTGACACTGGGTCAAAATCACTTATTTTCAATCAAAAATATTGGCCCATATTACACTTACATTGAGGGAGAAAACACACTTTTCACGGTTTGCATATGTCCCTTCTCTGAGCTTGCACTGATGGTGATCTGACACTTTATTTCACTTCTCCCACTCCCTCTCTTGTTTTTCCCTGTCCCTGCCTTTTGAATCCCCCTCTTCTCCTCCGTCACAGCTAGACGTCAGAGTGTGTATCTCAGTATCTCGATCATAGACAAGGCTGACATTTATCTTTTTCTGTGGGGAAGACAAAACGGTCGATGTGATGGATTCTGCCTCGCCCTGAACCTCGCCTCTTAACTACAGTCCAAAAGCCTTGTTCTGTGGCCGGCTCCACTTTCATATGTCACTAACATAACCCACTCTGCATTTTTTTCTTGTTCATCAGTTTGATAAAGTCTCGCTCTGAGGGAGAGCGATAGTGAAAGGGGCGGCCATTTTTTAAATATTAGTGTTTATGATCTTTTGAAGATGCCAGCCAGCAGTATTGGTTTCCTCATCATCTATTTGAAATAGGAGATTATCAAAGCAGCTTCCTCTTTCAGTGGAATGTCGATCTGGACTGGAGTTGGTCTATACTGGAGTTGGTCTATACTTGAGTTGGACTATTTTTTGTGTTGGTCTATACTGGAGTTGGATTATACTGGAGGTGGACTTTACTGGAGTTGGTCTATAGTGGAGTTGGACTATACTGGAGTTGGATTATACTGGAGTTGGACTATAATGGAGTTGGTTTATACTGGAGTTGGTCTATACTGTAGTTGGACTATACTGGAGTTGGACTATAATGGAGTTGGTTTATACTGGAGTTGGACTATACTGGAGTTGGTCTATACTGGAGTTGGACTATATTGGAGTTGGACTATGCTGGAGTTGGTTTATACTGGAGTTGGTCTATACTGTAGTTGGACTATACTGGAGTTGGACTATAATGGAGTTGGTCTATACTGGAGTTGGACTATACTGGAGTTGGTCTATACTGGAGTTGGACTATATTGGAGTTGGACTATGCTGGAGTTGGTCTACACTGGAGTTGGACTATACTGGAGTTGGACTATACTGGGGTTGGTCTATACAGGAGTTGGACTATACTGGAGTTGGTCTATACTGGAGTTGGACTATACTGGAGTTGGACTATGCTGGAGTTGGTCTATACTGGAGTTGGACTATACTGGAGTTGGACTAAACTGGAGTTGGTCTATACTGGGGTTGGACTATACTGGAGTTGGACTATACTGGGGTTGGACTATACTGGAGTTGGTCTATACTGGAGTTGGTCTATACTGGAGTTGGTCTATACTGGAGTTGGACTATACTTTGTCGAAACAGGAGACTATACATTGTCTTAGCTAAAACTTCCAATCAGATTAAACCTGTGCCATTCTGACTCATGTACTGTAGATTTTGACAGCAAGCCAAATTATACCTGCAAAGGTGTAATCTACATTGTTGATATTACTTTTCCAGAGCTTCAATTACAGTTGTAGTGTTATGATACACACCTGGGAGTAATTATCTACCTTGGCCTTGACATTAACAACCAAAAACTATCAAACACCCGGATAATGTTTTTTCATTAGCGTTTTCAAGCACTTTCCACTGCAGTTCCTTTCCCACATATATACCACTTAGACATACATTCAGTGCCAGTTTTATTTGGACTTGGGGAACCTTCGATGTCCTCGAAGCTTAGAACCTGTTTGTTTAATGTGGCCCAGAGATTGGCTCTTTAGGACAACATTAGTAATGTACTAATTGGAGTGTGAAATTAAAGGGCATCTTCATTGCACAAAATGCCATTCAAATAGTGCGGAGGGAGGATCAAAGATATATAGTTAAAAAGTGCTGCGTTCACCAGAAAAAACATTGATGTAATTTCCCATCTGCCTCCCCCATTAGCTCTAGTCATACCCCCCATCCACTCCCCCACATATTCCCATAATGATCGTAACTTGCCCAGGAGCCTATAAATCGGGAACAGTAGTGAAACTAAGTGTCTCATCATTATGCGGTCTCCACCTATCCGCTCTCAGAGAAAATCTACCATATGTCCTGAGGAGTAGTGGCACTTGTTCAAATCCAATCTCATTTCCATAAGCTTTTTATCATTCATTTTTTTTTTTTTACTAATTATGACCTCGTGCCATTTTGTTGCCTTTGGTGTAATGAGGTAAGTTGAATTACTCTACCGGTTGACTAATGGTAATGGGTGACTGAAGTTGACAGGGCTCATTTTGGGTTGTGGTATAACACTGTTGCTGTTAGTTCATTCCCTATGTGTTAGGAAGTCTCATTGGAGTTCCATGGCAAGATGGTTGTCACGTTAACAACTGCATGTGCATTCATAACATTCATGGAGGGGTTTTAATATCTTCATCGTGCCACCACGGAGACACAAATCAATATGTCTATATATACAAATACACTGCTCAAAAAAATAAAGGGAACACTTAAATAACACAACGTAACTTCAAGTCAATCACACTTCTGTGAAATCAAACTGTCCACTTAGGAAGCAACACTGATTGACAATACATTTCACATGCTGTTGTGCAAATGGAATAGACAACAGGTGGAAATTATAGGCAATTAGCAAGACACCCCCAATAAAAGACTGCTTTGCAGGTGGTGACCACAGACCACTTCTCAGTTTCTATGCTTCCTGGCTGATATTTTGGTCACTTTTGAATGCTGGCGGTGCTTTCACTCTAGTGGTAGCATGAGACGGAGTCTACAACCCACACAAGTGGCTCAGGTAGTGCAGCTCATCCAGGATGGCACATCAATGCGAGCTGTGGCAAGAACGTTTGCTGTGTCTGTCAGCGTAGTGTCCAGAGCATGGAGGCGCTACCAGGAGACAGGCCATTACATCAGGAGACGTGGAGGAGGCCGTAGGAGGGCAACAAACCAGCAGCAGGACTGCTACCTCCGCCTTTGTGCAAGGAGGAGCAGGAGGAGCACTGCCAGAGCCCTGCAAAATGACCTCCAGCAGGCCACAAATGTGCATGTGTCTGCTCAAACAGTCAGAAACAGACTCCATGAGGATGGTATGAGGGCCCGACGTCCACAGGTGTGGGTTGTGCTCACAGCCCAACACCGTGCAGGACGTTTGGCGTTTGCCAGAGAACACCAAGATTGGCAAATTCCCCACTGGCGCCCTGTGCTCTTCACAGATGAAAGCAGGTTCACACTGAGCACGTGACAGACGTGACAAAGTCTGGAGACGCCGTGGAGAACGTTCTGCTGCCTGCAACATCCTCTAGCATGACCGGTTTGGCGGTGGGTCAGTCATGGTGTGGGGTGGCATTTCTTTGGGGGGCCGCACAGCCCTCCATGTGCTCGCCAGAGGTAGCCTGACTGCCATTAGGTACCGAGATGAGATCCTCAGACCCCTTGTGAGACCATATGTGTGACGTTCTGGCTCCGGGACTCTTAGTAGTGAGCCAGGGTTGTCATTTTCATTTGGGTGTAGTTCTATGTGGGATCTAGTTGTTTCATTTCTATGTTTGGTTTTGATGTTGATTTAGTCATATGACTCCCAATCGGAGGTAACGAGTGTCAGCTGTAGGCTCGTTATCTCTGATTGGGAGCCATATTTATACTGTGTGGTTTCACCTTGGTTTTGTGGGTTTTTGTTTCCTTGATGCTGTTAGTCTTTATCAGTATTGAACTTCACTTTCGTCATATTTGGTTTGTTGTTTTGATCGTGGTTTCTTTATAATAAAGTCTACGATGTTCGCTCAACACGCTGCGCTTTGGTCTCCTCCTTTTGACGATCGTGACAGAAAAACCCACCATAAAAGGACCAAGCAGCGCGTCCAGGAGCAAAGGGTCTGGACATGGGAGGAACTGTTGGACGGTAAAGGGTCCTGGACTTGGGAGGAGATCCTGGATGGTATGGATCGCCGACCATGGAACGAGACGGTGGAGAGGCGACGGCAAGAGGAGCAACGGCATCGGCAGGGCCATCGTCGGAAGGACGGGAGGCAACCCCAAAAAATGTTTGGGGGGGGGCACATGGCTTGGGCGGCTGGGCAGCAGGAGGCTGCCACAGGGAGAAAAGGAGAGAAGGCTAACGGAGTACGGGAGCCATTGGCGAGTAGAGGGAGGGAAGTGTGTGTGGCACGGCGTGAAAGACTGATGTGTGTTGCCAGTCCGGTCCGGCCCGTTCCTGATCCTCGGTTGAGGCCAGTGGTGTGTGTTCCCGGTA